TGTAATAACAAAAGACATAGTTTCTATAATATTTTTACAACTTAACCACCTATTTCTAAGCTGTCAAGAAACCAAAATATCCTTTGAAAAAGCTTGAACCACAATGGAAGACTCACTCTCGATCTAAAGCTTCAACCATGCTTTATCTCTAGCAAGCTCAATAGCTCTGAAAACTACAGAAAATTCAGCATGTAAAGAATTAGGATCTGAAGTCGGTTCAACAAAAGCTAACAAAAGTTTCCAAGAGAATTTATGAAGATGCCACCACAACCACTAGAAGTGTTTTCAAACGAACCGTCACAATTACACTTAATCCAATTCATAGCAGGAGGTTTCCAGAGGACTTCAATAATTTTGGGAGCACGGGGGTGATCAATATTAATCTTGAAAGACTTAAGCAAACAAAAATCAGACATGGAGGAAGATGCACGCAACACAATATTATTTCTAATCAAACTAACCTGAGCCATAATGTTGAAGATGGTTGACTGAATAGGAGGAATTTTATTAAGAAATCTAGCCCCATTTCATATCTGCCACATATGCAAAAAAAAATGTAGACGATAACAGCAGTGATAATGAAAGAACCTTAAGGAGAATCACTGATATGAGACAAAGCCCAAATGTTGTCCACAGAGAAGATAGTGAGAGGCGAGTTCAGAATGTTGCACAACTATCTCCACAACTTGACAACATAAGGACAATAAAAGAATACGTGAGAAGTTGATTACGGTTTTGCTTGTAAATACTACACATGGAGCATAAGCTACAACCACAAATTTGTAAAGCATCATCCGAAGGAATCTTGTCATTTAAGAGTCTCCAAGACAACAAGGATTTAAAGGGAGAGATGTCAGAGTTCCAAATTCTGTCAGCCCAACCCAGTTTGAGAGAAGGGGAAACTTTGAATCTATATGCCTCTTTCATCGATAGCTTGTAGCACGCAGAAGAAAGCCAAGCCATAATGTCCGGAAAATTGGAAGGAGAAGTTTGTGGGATAACATGAAGAAGAAAAGGAAACAAAGTGAACTAGGAAATTGGAATATTTTGTACCATTATTCAAGAACTCGCAGGCCAACAAGTCAACCTCAATTTCGTTAGAAACAAGAAGGTGGGGATCGGTTCTGTCCAATAAAGGAAAGTCACACTAAACGTCCTTCTAAAATCTGATCTTGTCTCCTTTGCCGAGCATCCAAGAAGTGTTAGAGATTAAACAAGGAAGCTCCGACCTTATACACCTCCAGATAGACAAGAAAATGTGATGTCGAATAATACCAAACTTTCTTAAGACCCTAACTTTAAGCAGACGGGCCCAATTCTCATTACTGCTTAAAAAATCCCAGCACAAATTCAAATTAGATGCGTTATTGAGAACAATAAGGGAATATAAATTGAGACCACCATTACTTTAGAATTGACAGACTTTATTCCAAGCTACTGTGACAAGCTTCTTGGAATTAATATTACCACTCTAGATGAAATTTCTGGAGGCATGCTCAACTTCTCAAAGTAAAGAAACAAATAAAGGATAAGAAAAAATAGAATCATATATCATGCTATGAATCACCGAATCAATCAAAGTAATTATACCAACGTAAGAAATAGTATAACCTTTCCAAACTGCCAGTTAGAAATCATTTTATCAGCTAAGACTTGAAAATGGGCACGCTTAAGCCTTCCTTTAAAAATGGAACCCCAAAATAAATAAATGGCAAAAGACATATGTTGAAATCCGTAAACTGGGTGAAGTGATTCGCTCTCCTATCAGACATTGAACCACAGTAAATCATGGATTTAGAAGTGTCGATGGTTTGACCTCAGACAAAAGAATAATTCTAAAACAAATTTATTAAAATAATAATGTTGGATGATTTACCTTTACAAAAAAAATTAAAATGTCATCCACATTCAGAATATGAGTTGAAATGATGAAATTCTTGTTTACTTAAAAACGCCACAAACCACGACACAACACTAGCATTGCATACATGCACTAAAAAAAACTTATACATTAAAACCATTTTTAAATTAAAGAAAAAAATAGCAAAGCTTTATTAAATTGCTTTTTTTATACGCAAATATTAATCTTCCTTCCATTATCCTATTTCTAAGCTGCCAAAGAACCAAAATATCCTTTGAAAAAGCTTGAACCACAATAGAAGACTCACTCTCTATCCAAAGCTTCAACCATGCTCTATCTCTAGCAAGCTCAATAGCTCTGAAAACCACAGAGAATTTAGCATGTAAAGAATTAGGATCCGAAGTCGGCTCAACAAAAGCTAACAAAAAGTTTCCAAGAGAATTTCTGAAGATGCCACCACAACCACTATAAGTGTTTTCAAATGAATTGTCACAATTACACTTAATCCAATTCATAGTAGGAGGTTTCCAGAGGACTTCAATAATTTTGGAAGCACGAGAGTGATTAATATTAATCTTGAAAGACTTAAGCAAACAAAAATCAGACATGGAGGAAGATGCGCGCAACACAGTATTATTTCTAATCAAACTAACCTGAGCCATAATCTTGAAGATGGTTGACTGAATAGGAGGAATTTTATTAAGAAATCTACCCCCATTTCGTATCTGCCACAAATGCGAAAAAATATAGACGATAACATCAATCATGATGAGAGAACCTTGAGGAGAATCACTGATATGAGACAAAGCCCAAATGTTCTCCACAGAGGAGATAGTGAGAGGCGAGTTCAGAATGTTGCACAACCATCTCCACAACTTGACAACATAATGACAATAAAAGAATATATGAGAAGTTGATTGCGGTTTTGCTTGTAAATACTACACATGGATCATAAGCTACAACCACAAATTTGTAAAGCATCATCCAAAGGAATCTTGTTATTTAAGAGTCTCCAAGACAACAAGGATTTAGAGGGAGAGATGTCAGAGTTCCAAATTCAGTCAGCCCAAACCAGTTTGAGAGAAGGGGAAGCTTTGAATTTATAAGCCTCTTTAATCGATAGCTTGTAGCACGCAGAAGAAAGCCAAACCATAATGTCCGGAAAATTGGAAGGAGAAGTCTGTGGGATAACATGAAGAAGAAAAGGAAACAAAGTGAACTAGGCAATTGGAATATTCCAAGTACCATTATTCAAGAACTCGCAAGCCAATAAGTCAACGTCATTTCCGTTAGAAACAAGAAGGTGGGGATCGGTTCTGTCCAATAAAGGAAAGCCGCACCAAACGTCCTTCTAAAATCTGATCTTGTCTCTTTTGCTGAGCACCCAAGAAGTGTTAGAGATTAAACAAGGAAGCTCCGACCTTATACACCTCCAGATAGACGAGAAAATGTGATGTCGAATAGTACCAAACTTTCTTAAGACCCTAACTTTAAGCAGACGGGCCAAGTTCTCATCACTGTTTAAAAAATCCCAGCACAAATTCAAATTATGTGTTATTGAGAACAATAAGGGAACATAAATCAAGACCACCATTACTTTTGGATTGACAGACTTTATTCCAAGCTACTGTGACAAACTTCCTGGAATTGATATTACCACTCTAGATGAAATTTCTGGAGGCATGCTCAACTTCTCAAAGTAAAGAAACAAATCAAGAATAAGAAGAAATAGAGTGATATGTCATGCTATGAATCACCGAACCAATCAAAGTAACTATACCAACGTAAGAAATTGTATAACCTTTCTAAACTGCCAGTTAAAAATCATTTTATCAACTAAGGCTTAAAAATAAGCACGCTTGAGCCTTCCTTTAAAAATGGAACCCCAAAATAAATAAATGGCAAAAAACCTATGCCGAAATCCGTGAGCTAGGTGAAGTGATTCGCTCTCCTATCAGACATTGAACCACAGTAAATTATCGATTTAGAAGTGTCGATGGTTTGATTTGAGATAAGAAAATAATTCTGAAACAAATTTATTAAAACAATGATGTTGGATGATTTGCCTTTACAAAAGATTAAGATGTTATCAACATATAGGATATAAGTTGGAATGATGAAATTCTTGTTTACTTAAAAACGCCACAAACCACAACACAACACTAGCATTGCATACATGCACTAAACAAACTTATACATTAAAACCATTTTTAAATTAAAGAAAAAAATAGCAAAACTTTATTAAATTGCTTTTTTTATACGCAAATATTAATCTTCCTTCCATTATCGAATAATTGTCCTATTTTATTTTTACCTCAAAAAAAAAAGATCCTTACATATTTTATATGGTCATAGATTTAATATTTCCATTCTATATATTGCAATTTATACAATTCTTTTATTTAAAAAATTAATATATATTACCACTATATTACACATAAATTCAATCACATCATTTAATGCGTAAACTATAAACAATTAAATTAAACTTTTCTTACATTATTTAAATATAATAATGAATGTTTAATTAATTAGAAGATAAAATTATAAAAATATATTGAAAATTGAAATTAATTATTTATTTTAAAATATTATATGAAAAAAGTAATATTTATTAAGTTTATTAATAAATCAAATATATTTGTTCATTTAATTTAAATTTTTTTTAATCATATCATTTAAGATAATAAAGTGAGTCACTAAACATGTCTGTTTTACCGGTAAATTAAAATTCTAGATTAATATCCTATCTATGTCATATTTTACATTTTTTACTGTCATTTATATAGGTGCAATTATTAATATAAATTTTATAAATTTTAACTTTTAAGCATGTAGTTTCCACAACAGCGTGTAATTTTAATTTATAATATAAGAAAATTTATTCTGTTTAATTTTAATTTATTTGTATTAAATGGATGGTATATATATATATATATATATATATATATATATATATATATATATATATATATATATATATATATATATATATATATATATATATATATATATATTGAAAAGCAAAATTGATTTTAATATAAATAGATTTATTATAAAACAATTTAATATAAAAAATAAAATATATCATTAAATACAATAAAACAATAGATAAACATTGAGTCAAATAAGGTATTAAATGTTTTTACCATGTCCTTTTTCTTGTCTTTCTCTTACTATTATTTCTCACTATTTATTCACAACATTGCAAATTCATGGATACCCACCTTCTCTTCTCTTCCTCATAGAGTCAAACCCTTATTCATCTTCTTCCGCCTCCCACTTCAACCCTTTACATCACTCTCAAAACCTGCATCATAATCATCTTCTTCAGGTACTATATTATTATTACTATTATTATTATACTCATTTTTAATTTTGATGTTGAAGAATGTTTGAAATTGAAATAGTTAGTGTGTTATTGTTATATAATTGATTCAGATTCCTATCTTTATTCACAGGAAAACTAAAAGATGTTCCTGAATCACATCACATGCAATGAATGAAATGAAACCTTAGTTGTTACTCTACAAGGTTATTGAATTGAGTATTTTTTATAAGAAAGTTTCATTTTTTTTTTCTGTCTTTACTTTACGGCATTATTGGGATTGTGATTGTGATTTTCACCAACCATGGCAACCACGTTTAAAGGAATTCGCAAGAGTTTTAAGTACATTACTCAGATATTTGGTAATAATAATCTTTTCTACTATATACACTCTCTCCAATTGATTCATTGTTTTGTTGTTGATGTTTGGGTTAAAATGTTAAATGGGTCTTTTTCCAGTTGTTAAGGAGCGGGAGATGGAAATTGGGTACCCGACAGATGTTAAACATGTGGCTCATGTTGGATGGGATGGTCCCTCAGGGAATGGACCTAGTTGGGTATGGAGTTTATAACACCTCTATTTGTTATGTTCTGTTTACTTTTATATAGAATAGTCTTAAGTAACCGCAATTGAACTGTGGTAAATCAAATAGAGGTCTTATTTTGTTGCGGTTTAACGTTGAAAAGTATTTTATGAGACCCTATTTAGTCAGAGTTTTTATGTGTAAAACTCTGGGGCCTGTGCGGTAGGCTGCCTTGCACAGCCTCAAAGATAACCCTCCTTTTGGATGAGGTCAAATTGATTTCTGTAACTGTAGAATTGATTTTAACATGTTTGGATGTTCTCGATTCTAGCTTGAAGCTAGCTAGATTTTGGAGTTTTTGCTTTCACCCTTGTCTTTGACACGAATGCATTCAATTCAAAGTCAGTTTTTGTCACTGCAGAACTAAACACGTGTTTTATCTCTTCATTTTTGTTACGACTATCAATAGTCATATGTTTCGTTATTTGATCTACTCGGTTGTTAACACTTTTTGCCCTTTTATCTATACAGATGGATGATTTTAAGAAAGTTCCTGACTTTTCAACATCAATTGGTAACCTGGGTGAAATTCGGGACTCTGATGATCCTATGGCTGTTACTTCATTATGGTCTTCCCTAGGTATGATTTGTTTCTCGTACTATCGTATTGTTTTTAACGGGTCGATTAGTTGAGAAAGGATTGTTTTTTGATTATTATTATTGTGTGTTTTGGATAAGTTCTTGATAAAAATGCCAGGCCTTAAAAGTTATATGTTCTTTGCCCCCTTAGAAAGTGTTTGGTTGTTGTGTCGCAAGCAAACTTATCTCCAACAAAGAGAATCTTATGGCTCTTTGCTTTACAATTAACACTGTTTTTTGAAAGAATGGTCCACACCAAGATATATAAAATAGTGGTTTGGTTGTATTACATTTACGCCACGACTATGATTGGACTATGATTGATAAGTACATGTTTTTTTGGTACTTTGGTTTTCCATGTGATAAACTTCCTTATTGCCGTCAAGTTAAACCTTAAAAAAATTGAAGAATTGCAATTTGGAGAATCTGACTTACTTGCAGTTAAGAATTTAACCGAAACAAGGAAGTGATATTCTGTCTGAAAAGATAACAGTAGCGGTCTCTGACTTACTTTGCATTGATGTAGCTGTTCCATATTATGCTAAAAAAGGTGTTTTAACTACGCAATTTAGTTTACAAAATATGCTGTTTTTCTTCATGATGATTTTCCTTTTATGACAGTTTTATATTTTTTTCTGCATGTTACATTCAACTGCCGTCACTCTGCAATACTGCTTACACTCTGATGATTTTGTCATAAATGCGTTGTGCGGAAATACACAAGAATCTAGTTTATTTCCAAACAGTTGCGTTGTGATTATATTTCCTTCGGGTTCAGGACAAGATTCTTAGCAATACACAAATCTTATTTGTTGTTTGGATCCGTGCTATAGTCTGTATTCTTGATGATAGTTCTGGTTCTCGTGTGCAGAAAGTGAACAATCATCGAGCATATACAATGGTCTCTCATCTGTTGCAGGCAATCCTAGTATTCCAGAGAAGCCTAAGCAGAGAAAGCTCAAGTCGCCTTCCTCTTCCCGGTCACCATCTTCTTCATCAAGACGATCAAAAGCATCAAAGTCAAAGGCTTCGTACAACGAGAGAGAAGCAACAGCAATTGCTCTGGTGTAGCAGATTCAAGAATAGGAAATTAGCAAGAGAAGAAAAAGATCAGGCATCACCATATCAAACGGAATACACCTTTCTTGAAACACAGGGAAGAAATAAAATAAACATGGCAATGAAAGTTTTCTTGGCTTCTAGTTAGTAAATTATAATCTAGTCCACTGGAAGAAGAAGAAGAAGAAGAACCAATTATTTGTTTCCAGGAAGAGAAAAAACCAAATTATTTGTAATGAGTGTTTGGTTTTCTCCAAATCATATTGACCTTGAATTCATAAGCTGTTTTTGTCGAGTTTGAAGATTTAAAGGAATGACATGGTGGTGTTTAGTAGTTGATTCTGCACTCTTCTGTGGCATGTTTTGTTGTTGTTTAGAAATCTTTGAACACGTGCAGAGGTACAAATGGACCTAATAGATTTTATTTGTGCATTATATGTTGGGACACTAAATGATAAGTGTTGTTATTTTTCCCATTTGAATCTTTAGAAGATACAGATGAATTTACAGATGATTTTCTCATTTGTTCATAGATTCTGTATTTTTCCAAGTAGGGTAAGATTAATATCCTCTCTTATTGTGGCAGGTTTATGAGTGAGCAATTATAATTTGCATGTAATTATCATATGTTCAATATATATAAGTAAACTATTGTATTGTTAGGATAAGTGATTAAGGTTGAATCATATTTAACATTTATTTTTATTTATTCTTATATGCAGAGGCGTATTTTGAATACATTAAAAACGGAATTGCCTCTATGTTTGGTAACGGGGAGAATGAGAAGAGAGAAAGAACCTAGAAATAAAGTAAATTTGATGTATGGTTTGTTATAAGAGAAATATGGGAGAAATAGAAGAGAGAAAAATGTAATTATTTTTAAAAAGACAAAAATATATTTTAATTAAAAATGTTAATAATATATCATAAATTAGAAAAATGAATGAACGTTAAGGGTTAAATATGTTTTTTTGTACTTTTAAATGTGTCGTATTTAATTTTTAGTCCCTTCAAAAATTTATTCTCTTCTTCAAAAATTTCTTTCAAAGAGAATGATACTCCTTAAAATTTTAATTTTAATTTTTAATCTCTCCTATAATTTAGCGACGGTTTTTACAACTTAACGATAATTTTTTATTTAACGACTAAATTAGCGACAGTTTTGACGACGGTTTTACACGAGGGACCAAAAGTTAAAATTAAAATTTTAATAAAAACTATTTTTTGAAGAATATTTTTAAAGAGATTAAAAATAAATATAAAATATTTAAGAGGACTAAAATCATATTTAATCTAAAAATTAATAATACAATAAATAGTAAAATTAGAAAATTCACAGTCCCCTCATTTTTCTCATAATATGAGAAGATTAAAAAAATGATGGGTCTATGAATTATAAATCTCTCTCTTGTCTTTCTCACTTTCTCATTACAACTAAACAAGAGAATTCCACTTTTCTCTTGAATCTCTCTCTCTTCAACCTCTGACTCTTCTTTTTCTCCTTTACCAACCCCACCATTTTTCTAATCTTTAGAGAAACGAAGGAGAGTGTGAAATTTTTTCCAATTTTACCACTCATTGTATTATTAATCTTTATTCATTTTTCTAATCTATGATATAATATTTTTTTTTAATTAAAGGGTATTTTTGTCTTTTTAAAAATAATTATAATTCTTTCTCTTCTATTTCTCTCATACTTCTCTTGTAACAAATAATATATTGAATCTATTATATTTTTCACTTCTTTCTCTCTTCTCACACTCTGTCACATCTTTCACTATTCTCATTTTCATCTCACAACCAATCACAAGTTTCACCATGATTTTGATAAGTTGATATGTGTAGTTTTTGTTCCACTATAAATTTCTACTTACTGTATTCTATAGGATTCAATAACGTTTTAACAATACATATTTCATAAAAAAAATTATATCATATAGATCATTTAAGTAAAAAAAAAAGATAATCTAAAATTATTTGATATTATTTAGCATGACTCACATTGTTGAGAAAATTATGAGTTGTTGAGATGATTATGGATTGTTAAGAGTATAATTCACATTATTGAGATAATTACGGGTTGTTGAGATAACTATGAGTTGTTGAGAGTATCTCATATTGTTGAGATAATTATTTGTAGAGATAATTGTTTGTTGAGGGAAACTGAGAATTAGAGTTTTAGATAAACTGAACCATAGTGTTATATATATGGCTAGTAAAACTATAATTCAATAAAATTCATAATACAGAAATAACGAGAACTATAACTACTCTATAGTCGTAGAGGTAGACACCATTGATCGAATTACATTAACAAAGATCAATCGTGTTCATTATCTTTTACTTTCGTTTATCTTTAATCATCTATACTAGTTGTTGTTCTAACAATTGGTATCAGATGACGTTTAACTCTGGTGCAAAATTCAAAGTAATAAGGTTTGATGGGACGAGTAAAAATGAAGTTAAAGAGTTGTTGGCTCAACAAAGTTTATAGATGGCATTGCGTGAGACGAAACCAAACGACATAGAGGATACCAGGGAAAGTTGCATAATTGATTCATCTATGTGTTTCATACGACTCTGACTGAGGTTTGTGACAAATTGGAGAGTCAATATATGTCCAAGACGTTGATTACAAATTATTCACGAAGCAACAACTATATAATATGAAGATGCATAAAGGATCTGATTTGAAAAAAACATGTCAATGTCTTCAACAACATAAGCATTGATCTAGTGAGGCTTTGAGTGAAGATTGATGACAAAGATAAGACAACTATCTTGCTCTACTTGTTACTAGGTTCTTATGACCACTTGGTGACTATTCTTACCTACAGAAAAGATATTATCAGTCTTGATGTGGTTACTAGTACACTTTTGTCTTAATCTTAAATGAGATAAAGTGTAGAGAAAGGATTTT